ATTGGACGTCCAACTCGCCGCTTCCCTTTTGGCTTCCACTCGAGCAATGGCCCGACGCGCGATGTCTCCACTGTCTCCTGCATATTTGTTGGACGATTGGTTCTTGTTTTGTTCGTTCCCATAGTCGCTTGTTGGTGATTCTTTCCGGCCATCTGATCTTCAGTGTAGAGTGAAGAGAGTTGTTGATAAAGGTCTGCAACAGGCTGTTGGAAATATTCTTTGTGATCCACCAAGTTTCTGATCCGCACAGAAGAACTGATTGACTTGACGTTTGTATTGAAAATCCGAATCACTTTGTTGTTGATGCAGGCTGAGTGAAAGCGGAAGATTTCCAGATTGGTTTCAGGTTGATGAATGTGTTTCTCGCCTTCCCGATTCTCGATTTGACATCGTCGTCCGTTCCTCCTGTAGTTGAAACAATTCTCCCACCCTTCGAGGGAACCCGAATGGGAGATGACGAGATGAACTGTGGGGTGACATGGAGGAGATAGTGGAGTCCTGTGGAGAACAGGGTGAAATGGAGGTATGCTAGGTTCCCTGGGTTCCACTCGGAACCCAAGGGAATAATAACAGAAATAATATTGTGCTATGATGAAGCCTTTTGTATTTTCCAGTCATTATGAGGGCTGTACCCTTACTGAGTGCAAAGTTTTTAGACTTATCAGTGGATTTAGTGTTTGACAAGGCCGTTCAAAATCAGTCAGCACTGTTGTCGAGTGCACTAACTGTTGTTTGACACAGTTAAATAGGTGGTATCGACATTCCGTCTTCTTTTCCTATTTTTTGCATGTCTGTGCTAATGTTTTTGTTATGTTCGCAGTTATGATTGTCGATAGGGGTAGTTTTCGTTACAGGATTAGATTCGTATTGACAGTTATTTCAAGATGCTACTGGTTTAAATGTTCACTAAACCATTTCATTAACTGTTTCCTACTGATATCCGTAAAACTTTGAAACAATTACTTAAGCATGGAATTACTAAATTACCTAATGAATTAGCCAGCTTAGTCATAAATGTTTAATGAACGCCAAATGACACTTTAACAGTTATGAAACAGTGTGAAATGTCTTTTCTTTTTCTTCTTTACGACGTTGAAGTTTTGTCTTGTCTCAAAACATTTTTCTTCCAGAGACGTCAGGTGAATACATTTTAAAGGAAACGAAATGTGCGTCTGGTTTCTTTTCGTTTTCTCCAAATGCCTCCAAATGTAAATACATTGATTTAAGTAGTATATACTCCGTAAAGACCAATGAAGAGATGAAGATCACCAGACTTCTCTGTTTACATAAAAATGATAAAAATTTGAAATGAAAATTATGTACAATTTTCATCACTTTTCACCAGATTAACAAAACACTGCTCTTTACAAAATGCTTGTAACATAATCCGATAGATACTACTTAAATCCCTGGAGAGAATCATGTAGATTCAGACAGTGAATGTCATTCACACAAACGGAGACAGAGACATAAACCACTATCATATATTTATTCACTAAACACTGTTCACTCCCTTCAACACTTACAATAAACCACTAATTCGGTTGAATTCTCTTTCGAAAACACTGAGCAACATTTTGCTTTGCTTTTTTTTAATGCTTTTAGACACAAATTTACAATCTCCATGACAAGATGGCTTTTACCTTCAAAAAATATATTTTAATATAAAATAAAATGAAAGGCGAAAGAAACAAGAGTATGAGAAACAAAAAAAATATGCATGGGTGACAATTTCTTTAACGGATAAAAAGTCAAAGGCTTTCTTATTAAGCATATTTAAATCTACATTTTTGGCGCCTAAACTTTGTTTGTTTGTTTGTTTGCGTAAACCCGCCATTTTTACATACAAATGATGAATTAAAACAAAGAGACAAAAAGTTATTTATGACGAAGAGAAAGGAATTTAGCGGACGAGAACTATTCTTTTCTTTTCCATTCTACTATTCTTTAATGATAAATTAATCAAAGTTCAGTTGTTCAATGTCTCATGGAGTTTTGAAAAATTTAAATTCAGACGTAACATATTTATGTCTCCATGCATACTTGAACAATAAACTTATGGTTACTGTTAGGGGATAAAATTGAACAGACTTGAATCAGTGATACTTTTATCTTACTTCTCAAGGATATTTAAGTTTCCTTCCCTCCTATAAATAATATAAATATGGGCTTGTTTATTATAACACTTGACCGGTGACCCTAAAGTTATTATTAGGCATGAAAGAAAACTTGCTTTAAAAAAGCTTTCTATATAATCATAGGATGAAGTTGCCCATTGAGGAAATTATTTTAGGAATTCAGTTATGCGTCACATCTACTGTCTTTAAATTCCAGGGCAAAATAGATAAACAAACAGAAGGTGTAGCAATGGGATGGATGATCACCAATATCCCCTATTGTAGCAGATATATTTATGGACAGTTGGGAAAATATTGCTCTCAATATATTTAATCCTACTCCAAAGATAATATGGTGGAGATATGTGGATGACACTTTCACAGTGTTAAAAACAGAACATATCTCTCTCTAGCTTCTTGACACACATAAACTCACTAGTGAAGGGAATAAAATTCACATTTGAATCGGAAAATGAACAAGGAGAATTGGCCATGACCCCGGCGAGCATCCTAACCACTGTGCCACCGACGCATAGTTAGTAATGTTAATATAAGAAGTTACATATTTATTCCTACCTATGTAGGATACACCAGTTGTATAGGCATGGATAAGTATTATTTAAATTACATAATTTACGGTTAAATTACATGGTTGCTATCATTTTATCTTTAGTTTGTGGGAAAAATTTGATAACTAGTGATTCAGTGGACCACATCAAGAAATATAGAGATATTGACTTCGCATTAACAAAACAAAAAAACCCAAGTATGCGTTGGATGGATTACAGATACTTGGGAAAATAAATAAATAAAGCTTGAAGTCAATTCCCTCATATAACAATAAAATTCACCTTATAGTAACATTTTCTCACTTTATGCACATGAGGGACTCCAGTGGACAGGCATCATCAATATGATAATAATGCACACATGGAGTAGACATGTTCAAAATTTTTCAGTGAAATAAGATATATATATATATAAAAGGGAAGGTAGTGGAATAATGACAGTAGGCACACAGTAGGCATAAGTTAAAACAATTTATGTGATATAATTTGTCGGAAATGCGCGCAACAACTGAGTGTTGCGTTAAATTTGGTCGATATGGTGGGCTACTCACAAAAGTGTAGAAATGGTTTATAAAACGTTAGTTAGTTTACAGTAAACGATGAAGTTTATGGATGATTAATACCTAACGTCGCATAAATTCAAAAGACTCAACCGAAAATTAATAAGTAGACAGGAGAAATGGCACAGACAGGAATTCAAGTGAGCATAGAGAGGAGGGTAGGGTGATAAAATTGAAAGAGGTCATTTCCTCCACCTATCTAGACAGCACGTTTTCAAATACACGCAGTCAGCACAAATGGGAATATCAAAGGCAGAGTTAGATGAAAACCAAGACAGAACTTCATCACTTTGAAAAAAACGTCTACAAATCTTCTGCACTCAACATAAAGTACAAAATTCAAATTTCCAAAATTAATATCGAGCAAGCCAGTTCTCTCTCATCTGAGTCAGAAACTTGGCGTACGCTTCAGAATTTCATCGATCGGTCAGTTTTCGACATAGAACTTTGCTCATATGTGCGGCAGTTCATGTCGCCACACTCTCCCCTTGTCGCACACAAAGCAAGAGAAGAAAATAGGAGAAATGCATAATATAGACAGTAAACAGAATTGTGAGACAAAGGAATAGTAATAACGAAGAACAAAACAGTTTCATTGAAATCATAAGTCACAAGGATTGGATGCATCTATGTCAGCCATCATTGAGAACGATTTTGAGCCATGTCACCAATTGTTTCCAACCATTGGTTTTGACCGTCCCGAGGACCCCAACCAGGAAGTCTATATCTTCCTACGTGGCTTAGACTAACTGTTGTAGATTTCATTGCCTGGTGAAGGTATGTTTTGGTTTGACCGCCGCTAGCTCTTTTCCAGCCTGACCCTATGTCAGCTAACATTGCCCATTGTCGAGGAAGGCGATGACTAGGCATACGTAGCACATGTCCTAACCATCTCAGTCGATGTAATTTCACAGTTTCGTCGACTGATTTCCCTCCTTACCTAGCACTCGACGCCTAACCTCAATATTGCTCACCTTGTTATACCACTTCACACGGGAGATAGAACGCAGACACCTATGATCGAAGACAGCTAATCTTTTCATGTCTTCCACTCTCAATGGCCAGGTCTCACAGCCATAAAGGAGGACGGAGTGGACTGATGAGCAGTACACACGCCCTTTGGTCGATAGTCAAATTTTATCAACAACTGCCACCTTCGCTGGCTGACTCCAAACTGAAGATCAAATGACCAGTCAGCCAGAGAGAATTAGCCAGAAAAAACTCTGAAAAAACGACGCAAATCAAAAGCCTATTGCTCGAAAAAGAAAAAAGCTGAACACACTCTGAAGAGACTATCGGATGATATCAAGCGCCAGGCAAATCCTCGAATGGAATCCAAATGAGAAGCTTTAAGTTAGACATGTGTCGAACCATGACATGGAGGAGATAATGCGGGGAAGAGGCGAAGGAGGAGGCGAGTGCTTATGGGCAATTGTGAGGCCAGTTGAAGAGGAATTCAGAGAAATAGGAAAAAGTGGAGATATTCTGTCGAAGCCCTGTATTCCACTCAAAACCCAAGAAAATAATCATTATACGATCTATTTCAAAGCACATCTTTTTCACAAAAAAAAAACTTTCTTTCAGGTTTTTGTAACTTAGTAAACAAAAATATTATTAAATGTGTCACGTATAAATTAATCCTACAATGCGTTTTAGTATTCATTAAAATTTAGTTTTAAAGGCGTACAATTTACATTAGATTTTTCATTATTGTTAATTTCTACCATAATTTTCTTTTTCATTTATCACCATAGACACAAACAAATATTTATGAAATTGTTACTGATTTACGAATGGAACAAAGTTGTTTACAACATCGAATGGAGAATTTGGAAACATCTTTGATAAAAGTACAGGTTAGTGACGAAGAGAATATACACTTGTATAGGTATATACGTCAATTAACCTTTCGTTTTAGAAACTTCATGCATCGTTTACTGTCCTTTATGAATTTGAATAAAGTAAGAATAACAATGACTTGTGCAGAATAAGAGAATCATACCATCATTGTTTGTTTCGTTGGCTTCTCATCAGCTGCTTACAACCTAAAGAAGACATTATTAAGTTTATCTACAGAAACGATTTTAACATACTTGCAACATAGAGAGTTCATTCATAAGCAATCAGGTCGTCGGTGGCACAGTGGTTGGGACTCTCGCCGACCATGCACATGGTCCGGGGTTCGATCCTCTGCCGACGCACACCTGATATCTATGGTCGGCCTGCAAAATTTGGGCTGCCGATATCACATGCTGAAAATTTCATACCTGTACCAAAAAGTACGGTGTGGAATCAAGCTGTAATCAAAATATAAAAAAATAAAAATCGATGAAAACCCGTATTGGAGTACTGGACAGCCAGCTGTTTCAAACTAGTTTGGGAATCATCAGCAGTACGCATCCACTGCAAGGGTTGGAACCCAGGATCTTCCGGTTACAAGGCCAGCGAGCTGGTATACCATTCAGTTATTGGCACACCATTCAATGGCTAGCCCATGAATTCTAACTTCTCCCGATGATCCCCAAACTAGCGGGATGAAACTGCTATCCAGTACTCCAATACTCGTTTTCAGTGGTTCTCTAACTGATATCGATCCGTGGTCATACTCGTATCTAACAAATCTAATCCTTATAAACCAACTCTTGAAAGACAACTAATATGACAATAATAATAATAGCGAGGTTAAGGATCATTTTTGAGTTAAAGCAGTCTTCTTCATGAAATAAAGTTAAATGATAAACCACTGGAAATCGCTTAACCTGTTGTGATTTGGTACTTCACTAAAGTAAGCACTCAGGGACTTCAAGATATAACTGACATATTAGCAAACAATAAAGCACTTCCTCTTCTTCGTCTTTTGTCTTCTGAGCGGGATATAGAAATTCAAAATGCTAAAGTTTGTGTGGTGGTGGTGTTTTCTGTCATGGGATTGGGTTGTTAACCACACACACCCAACCTGTCCCCTTTTACTAGGCTTACTGGCAACTAGTAAACTCGATGAGATTTGAATATTTGTTGGTCGGAAATTGAACCTCGACTACATGCGTGTCTGGAAAACATTGTACCACTGAACTACTGAGAATTACTGTTAATCGGCAGTACGCACTCACAGGGATTCGAATCCAGGACCTTCTGGTTACAAAGCAAGCTCTTATGCCATTCAACCACTGGAACCCGATTCAATGGCTAGCGCATGCATTCTAAGTTCTTCCAATTCGTGATTTAGCGCGACCCCAAGTATAGAAAATTAATCTGATGCTCGCTAGTGACTTGCTACAGGATGGAGTTTCCTGGAGTTCTAGTGAGAAGTGGCCAGTGAATAGCATCCAGATGTCACGTGTGAGGATGGATTATTCAACGACGCACATACCAGTAATGAATTTACTTACCATGAAACATGAAAATGATTGAAAGTTCCATTTCTTCGAAATTGCCATGCAACGACAACAGGTGGGTTGTCTCCAGGGTGTAAGACAGTAAGACAGGTGGACTGGATTATGCGTCAAAATATGCACAGGAAGTGAGGATACAGGAATACGCTGGACCACCGATAATAAGACTCAAAAAATCTGAACTTCACTCGTGGATTATTAAAGACTAATGTCAGACAGTTTGAGGAATTACAGGCGAAAACTAACAAACTGACAGAAGGGAAGACTTCGAAGACAGGATTCCAGGTGAACACAGACAGGACGAAGGAGATGAAGATAACTAACCAACAGCAATAACAGCAACAACTAGCTGCATTTACCATCAACAGCAGAGATTTGTCAGAGGTTAATATCTAAGCAGCACGGTTTCAACTAAAGTCGACACCACGGATGAAGATGTTAAACACAACCAGAATCGTAAAAATAAGCAACACCTTCATCGATTTGAAATCAGTTTGGAAATCTTCTCCATCGCACTCCACATCAGCATAAAGAACAAGATTCCGATATTCAACACAAGTGTGGAATCAGTAAGTCAGTCCTTCCATACGGGTCAGAGACTTGACCAGCGTTTCATGAACTCTAAGAAATTAATATCTCCTAGGAGATCAGTACCCAACACCTAATCCAGAGGCACTACCACTGAGCTATTCCAGCTGACAATTAACTGGTGAGATCAACTAAACTGGATCTATGAATGTAGACAATTATATATCTCATCCAACAGTTGCATGTCAATGCTGCATGCCAAGTAATCCACAACGGGAAACTTACGGAATCCTTCGAAGTGAAGACAGGAGTAAGACAAGCTGGCTGCCTACTATCGCCAATGATTTTCTTGATTGCAGTTGACTGGATAATGCGACAAACACCGGGCAATGAGGAAACAAGCATAAAATGAACTCACACAAAATACTTGGAGGATCTGAACTTCGCCGATGATATATGTCTGATTTCCCACAAACTGGAAGATACGCAAGCGAAAAGCAACAAGTTGGTAGAAGAAGCATCCAGAGAGGATAGGACCTCAGGTGAGCATAGAGAAAACAGAGGTGATGAAGATTCCTGGACAACACCACCAACAGCAACAACAACAATAACAGATAATAATCAGCATAAATGGGAGGAACCTGAAAGAAACAACCTCCTCTACCACCTACCTGGGAAGCATCCTTTCAACTAAAGCTGGACGAAACTGTCGAGGATATCAAAGCAAGAATCGGAAAAGCAAGACAAGCTTTCACTCCTCTCAAGTCTGTGTGGAGGTCAACAACACTCAGCATCAAAAATAAGATCCGGATTTTCAACTCCAATGTCAAGTCAGTCAGTGCTACTCACTATACGGATCAGAGATTTGCATTGCGCGTCATAAAGAGCATCTCAAACAAACTACAGACCTTCATTAATCAGTTGTCTTCGCTCAATGCTACTCAAGATCAGGTGGCCGGCCAGGATAGATCAGCAACAGAGTGAGATCTCTGGGAGCGAACCAACTCAGCAGGAACCGATTGTGAAACAAATAGGCAGGAAGAAATGGTGATGGATTGGCTAGCCATACTCTGAGGAAACAATCCATCAAGTGACATCACTAGACAAGCTATTGCTCGAGTGGAGCCCGAAAGGGGAGCGGCGAGTTGGTCGTCAGTGTGAAGGTGGAGTGACTTGTAGGAGGTCGTGTGAAGAGGAGATGAAAGCGTGTGGGCAGACTTGTAGCCATGTGAAGACTCTAGCAGAGATCCGAACGCAATGGAGACGCACGACTGAAGCTCTATGTTCCTCTAGGAATTAAAGGATACAATGATAATAATAATAATGTAGAAGAGGGTTACTGATTCATGACATGAGTGCAAAACAACTCAACCGCTAGATTAATGATTTCTTTTTAATTGTAATCATACTACTTGTGAGTAACAAGAAGAATGAAAACAAATTAAATTGACATAAGGAATAGAGAATATAGACAAAGCAATGAGAAGACGTAATTTGTCTGAATCTTGTAATGTATTTCCGCAGTAAATCTTGAACAGTCTGATCGCACATGGACTTGTCATGAGAATACATGTATATGTGAAAATAATAAAGAATTTAGGTGTGAGAAAATAAACTTAGGTCAAGTTAAAAGCACATATTGAAGGTCGAAATAACAATGCAGATCACTAAACCAAAGAAGGGGTTAATGGTACATCTATCCTGGCTGGTATCAAAACATAGTTTACCAAGTATGGCGGTTTATTGTGATGACAAATTGTTTCTGAACGCATAAAGGTGGTTTAAACTTCCCAATAGCTAGCTAAGGCTTCCACAAACTTTAGCATACGCCCCAAACACATTTTACAGGTAGGTTTAAAAGACGTGTAAACATACATTTTATGTCCTATGTTAATAATGTGTTTCGCAATGGAGAAGCTGGGTCGTCTGTTCTCACCATTTATGGGTTCCGGCGATTCTATTTGACTTTGAAGCCCTTACTTGCAGAGATCGATGAGTCCTCCCAATGCATGTGTGTCCACACGTACATTGAAATCGGTAAATACAGTGGGATGTGACATCATGTTTCACATGTTCTAAGGACTTAGACGGATATATGAATACTTATAGCCAGCTTTCTTCTTAAATCATAAAACCTATCTTTACTTTAGCTCATTTTGAAGGTTTGGCTATCATACGCATTGTGTGTAAAGGCAGACAATATTTCCTAAACAACAACATTCATATAGAGACTCTTTGAGAAATACATTCGTCATAATATCCACAGATATTTAAGATCGCTGAAGAGCTTTATTTTCTTGTTCGATTTCTAATGGCTACCAGTGGAGTCATGCATGCACGTTTCATCCATTCTGCGTGGACATCAGCTAGCAACACCCGCATCCTCAATGAGTAATGGTGTTTCTAGTAAGATTTAATACAGCAGTCTTTCGTTTCATACGCTGAAATATTGTCCATTAAAATTCATTAAACCACGAGAACCCCTTCTTGTGCAATGAGTGTCACTTTTTATTTAACAAAATTATCTATTTTGAATTCCCCTCTAAATGATTTGGTTGGACCAATGTACTCAGCATTGTTTTACATGTCTTGCACGTTCCTTTAGTTTGAGGCCGAGTTCATCAGCTGTAAACCTGATTTATTTGAGCTCCAAGGACTGAATCAGTTGGAACCATAGAAATGCTGACTAACTACTCGAGTGAACTGATAGCTTTCAATTGCTCATACTTATTAGTACCATTTATACTGGTCGACTATACTGCTTGAGTTTATGGTCGAGTTAAAGTATATCGATCCGGAAGTGCAAAGGCATCAGTAATCTTGGATAATGAGACCTTGCATTATTGTAGCTCCGGGATAACTGCTTTTCATGAAATGAGGTGCTATTCTCATCCCGATCTCAACAGGACAGATTTCACAGAGGTTACTTTCTTCAC